CACGACTAAACACTCATAATATTATTCATTTCTGTTTGAATTTACATTCTCAGAGCTCTTCCGCACTACGAACACGGACAGAATTCAGATATATGTAGGCATGTATACGCACTAACGACCCGCCAAAATTTGGACCGAAATAGGTAAATATGTTTTCGTTATATAAAACATCAGATGAATTGGCATTCTTTAATAATGCAACGAAGAGATACCAGCTGACAGATATAAGTACCATGGAACTGTTCTAAGGCTATAACGGACCACATTTTCACGGATTCGGATCAGACGTAGTGCGGAACCGCTCTTAAGTTGGTTATAAACGTTCGTAATTTATTTTTCACCTCTCGTAATTTCGTAGTTAATAAACGACTTAATCCTATACACTGTCGATTAGGAAAGACAATGATTGAGTCTTAAGTACATTTACAGACTAACACCATCGTCATTATACGCATTGAGAACAAAAACTTCCCTATAACACAAAATAAGGTTTAAGTCAAACCGCGTTCGCGACAAGTCAAAGGCGTAAAGAAATAATTTGAAAAAGGAATTCTTTATTTAAATATTTGCTATTTTTAGAGTCCTATGCAATACGGTAACGCTAATACGACTCGGCTAATAACTTTTGAGAATATAATTTGAAAACGTCAAAATATCATTATGTAGTCCATAAATTGATAAAATTTGAAACATTTTCCAAAGAGGTCATATGTCTCTAATCGACAGAGCATTCAATAACAATACTCTATACTCTCCAACAATAAATTTAATATCTCAATTCAACACTAACTGAATTAACTAAGCCCAACATATATATACAAAAAATGTAAGAAACTATACAACGGTGAAAATAACCACTTAGGTATATCATGAAAAAACTTATGAGAATTTGAATAAATAAACAAGCAAATCTCAACGGGTCTTGAGCTTGTAATATCTAATGTTAAATAATAATATATAATTAGTTGACGCGCTAACACTTATATAGTTATATCACTAGATCTCACTACGTTGATTTGATATAACAATATGTTGTATATACTTACACTATAAATATCAATAGAAGCTTATGTGTATCGTGTGTTCCATGTAATGCGATCTTATTACCTAAGAAATGCGTAAAAAAACACTTCGACAACGAATTGTGGGTGTAACTTTTATAAACTATCAAAAATTTCAACTTTTTTTAATCATGTTAAAATCGCAACAATCTATTATCTAGATTTGGGGTCTAAAAGGTAGGTACATATCTGTTAATTCTTATTATAGCTATTAATTTCAACATTTAATTACAATAAAAATTTTGATAAAAAATTATGTGCGTTGATGAAATTGACAGAGGTTGACTGAACCACGACGCGCGCAAAACGGCATGTAAAAATTTCTTTTTTTAAATACGTTACATGAAACACACGATACTAATTTTGCGATAGAATAGCACTGCTTTAACACGACAAATTTAAGGGATTCGTATCACTAAGTTATGTGAGGGTATAGTCAACGTTAAATTAGCTGCCTTTAAGGGCAAACGCTAGATGGACATCTTCACCGCAAACTGTACCTATCACACAAGACTCAATACAGTAAAACGTTGACAGTACGAGAATATAGAATCGTGTGGTCAATGACGGCTATTGTATTTTTAAACACCAGACTATCCAATCACAGATGTTATTCAAAATTGCACGTCCAATGGCGTGATGCTAGCTCAATTCCTATTGGACGAAAAGACGAAGATCTACACTCGCGCCATCTGTTGAGCAAAAATCCGATAGCCATCATTATAGAAAAATATTTTTGAAAAAATATGGCTCTTGGTTTTATAACAGTTACTCTAATGTATTATCAGTATATCCCTTAAAATAGGTCGGTTTATAGAATAAGTATTAGGCCTACAGGTAGGGAAAAATTGTAGATATAGTAATATTATCAAATGGAAGTTGGAACTAAAATCATTAAGGGCATTTACAATCGCGAGTAAACTAAATTGGAGATCGCACTATACAAAATATACTTCATACAGGATGTTCGATTGGTCGCCTTCAAACCTTTCCTTCTAACTCGCCAAGACAACAATGAACAACCTGTACATTATAGAATATTTTTACAATCACGTTGTAATAGATATAAGGTGTCATACAGAAATCAGTTTTATTACAATATACATAAGACTTTAAGTTATTAGACATCGACATGTAGAAGCAACACAAACAAAATCATTCATCAATTTTCCAAGTGCACACAAACACAAATCGTTCAAATGCGTACAATTCTTTTTAATATCAATAACTAAATGCAAGCGAAATGTGACTTAAAAGCAATAAAGAATAAAATTCATAACACATTAAATATAAGCAGGTTTTAGACCAATCAAATCTATCCAATTTTCGTCAAATTATGTCAAAATTTCATATAAACACATTTTATATGAATAAAAAATAAGTAAATAGCACTTCATGTACTAAAATGCTGCATGTTATTTCTATTGATTTAATTTACTAATTTTATTTTCTTTATTCACACTGTTTTCTCTTATTTCGGATATTAAATAGTTTTTTTTTTCAATTATCTGTTTAATAACTCTAATTTCATTCATATTTTTTTCATGATTTGTCTATATTAAGATTGAAGGTTGCGCCACCATATATTTTCGTCAAGAAGCGTAATAAAGTATCATACACTGTCTAGATATAAACATAATAAAATAATAATTAATGACTTTCTATAACAATATTCTTTTTTTTAATATATTCGACCAATTCTACCAAAATAACAGTTTTGTACTGTTATTTCTCTCTGCTCCGCTCGGCTTATTTAATAGATAATGATTATATCTTACTATTTAATATAATAATGTTTTGATATAATTATATTACCGATTATGACATACAATATTACAGTATTTTATTATATGACTCTTCCTTCGACATAATACAACAAGATTTTTTGTAACACACATTAGACTTTTATATGAATTTGCTATAAATTTAACAGATATTCAAGCTGCTATAATAAATATGACTCTTATATAATATTAGAGTTGTACAACGTCCCTATTTCCTTTATCGATAGAAAAAATAGAAGAATTATCGTTGCGAAGTATCAATTGACGAAATATCAATAGGAATGCAAGAAGCGAAGCGATTTGAAGAATTCTTAACAACGTTCCATCACTAATTTCATTTATCATTAAATTTTTATAACAAATCTTTTATTAAATGGGTGTTACCGTTTTTTAACACTAGATGGCGCTTATCTATAGTGGCTAATTTCTTCAATCGGCGTAGCTGTTAAAAGTGGAACGTCCAGGATTTGCTTATTGGACGAAAAGACTAGAGACTTAGAGGTGAGTGGAAAAAACGGTAGTCCCCATTTCGTTGGTTTCTTTACAATTTACTACTATACTGAATATATGCTACATATTATGTCGCTCGCGCTTATTTTGACTGATATTTAGAGGCAATCTGAAATGTTTGATGCACACATGCTTTAAACTCTCCAAATAATATTACAGCGCGAACGATGCTTTTTAAAAGTTATTTTTAATATTTGCGATCGAATGATCTTGTCCTGTGTACTTTACTATTCGATTCAATGCCAATTTGATTTTATTTTTTATTTAATTATTTCGGTAGTTTCACGTAAAAACAGGTTCAAAATGAGTAGCGAATTTATTGATTGAGTTTGAGGACTTTTTAAGAACTGTACTGTACTGACTACTTTTGATTCCTTTATGTTATTATCTCCAAATGTACTTAGTAATTATGGTGTAAATTGTTCTTGCACGAAAGTGCAGTTAAGTGATCGTTGATAGAACATGGCTCCCAATATCACCAGCCATTTTGACACTGTCGCCACGCGATACCAAATACATTTACATTAATTAATAAGTTTACAATTCTCAAAAGTTATATTTAACAATTAACTTCGATTCATTACTTTACGAACCTCTCAACAAAACAGCGATACTTTAAAACTAGTTTAAAGCTCCCGCTTTCCATTGCTTTTTATTTCAATAAACTGCACGCATTCACGTACAGTTCTGTATTGCATTTGCTCAGTCACATTTTTTTTATTCATACAATTTATGGACAGGGAAGGGTTTAAGATTGAAGGTATCACCTATGAAAAAATAAGAAATGGCCTTTTTGAGATCTAGACTTCAAGTAATGGTCATTTTTGAAACCTGGGCTTTTAAGAAGTATGTTTTTTGAGGCCTTTATTTCAAGAAATGGTCTTATTTAGACCTCAGCTTAAAATAAAAGGACTGTGTTGAGTTCTAGGCTTCAAAAATGCCCATTTTTAAGTCTCAAAAGTGATGTTATAGGTTTAAAAATTTGGCCTTTTAAAGGGTGTTAGAAGTCACTTACATACCAAGTTTAGCCCCGACGTAAAGATGTGCAGTGCGGTGGCAGGATGACATTGCAGTGATTGTTTGATAGTGATATAGGTGAGAAGCATATAATTAAATGTTTACAATATAACATACAAAGCGGTTATTAGCTATATAAGTTGGTGATAGCGCGATTTTAGACATAAAAAACATAAAATATATATTGAACGACTTGATTTCATTATTTTTTTTATTAATAATTCGTTTTTTACTGATAGTAAATTTACACTTCATAGTATGAGTTACCTCTTTTTCTATAGATGGAGAAAAAAGCAAACGTATTGCTTCCTTGTTTATATAGCCGAGTAACCCATAGACACAGATCTACAGATAGGAAGTGTGCCTTTTAAAAGTGCGGTCTTCATAATGAAATTGGCACAATAAAGATAAGAAATGTAATATTTTGTGGTTACGAATTTTTAATCTACATATCACGCCTTACATTTCTAAAAGGGATAAAAAGACATATTTACCAAATTATGATAAATATGAGTCAATTCTAAAGTCATGCGCTGATCTAAAAACCGCCTTGTACCTTCAGGTTTTAAGTTCATTTTTAAGGTTATACATATATCATTATTATCACGCTATCACCATCATCTTTGTAAACACGAACGCGGTGACGGCAGCTTAGCAGAGCCCGTCTTCGTCCTCAGCTGGTTTCTTAGGAGCATACGTCACCGGAGCGTATGGAGACTCCTCAACTCCGCACACCTCCTGAAATTAAGAGAAATGGTCTTGTCTATACTAATATTATAAAGAGGTAAAATTTGTAAGTTTATATGTAGGGGGTAATCTTTGGAACCGCTGGTCTGGTTGCCAAAATTCTTTCACTGATAGATAGCTACAATGTTCCCGAGTGCTATAGGCTATAAAACATCACGCTACGGTCAAATGGAGCCGAGTAGCGGGTGACTGCGCGAGAGATACTAGTTTTATATACATTTAAACATTTTTTGTGGTCTAATTCATCAAATCCCAAGCAAACGCGTTCGCGCTCCTATTGTCAGGACATGTATATGATATCAGGACTTGGAACAACAGTCTGTGGATCACACTTCTTAGCCTCTTGCGGGAATCAAACCTGGGACACGTTGCGCAGCAGCCACTGCGCAAACTACCGTACCAAAAGTTAATTTAATATAATTATTTACTGTAGTCATTTATTTTTAATTTTATTATTTTGAATATAATTTTAATGTGCCTATAGTTTAGTGGTGTGGTGCATCATTATTGAGCAGGGGGTTCTGTGTTTGATTTTCGATTAAAGTAATTAAAAGTTATTGAGATTTTATGTGCATGTAGTAACTTAAATTATTATAATTAATATTTTCTTTCATAATCATTGTTATATTAATTATTTAAATTATATTTTTTGTACCTAACAGAAAATATCAATTATGTTGAAGTAATACATTTTAAGTGAAATTTTTATATATGTATTAATGTAATTTGACTGTCACAAGTATTTTTTATATTTATTTTATTTTTTGTAGTAAAAATGTTAAATATTAAATAGTTAATGTTTATTGTAGTGTTATGTGTATGCAATTGTGGAAGTGGTATTGTTTTTTATAAAATTTAGTTCTTTTATGGATTTCATTTTAATATCAATAATGAATATCACATTTTTATTTCAAAATATGTATAAAAAGAAACTTAAAAATATACTCAGTAAAATAAATAAGCAACATTTATTTTTTACATAAAATAAACAACACCGGTCTGTATAATTTCCGAAAGAAATAATAAGTTAATTATATTTTCTTTTTTGTTCGTTTATTATTTGGCTCTTTATTTAGATTTTATGTATTATTTTTATTCACATTATTTAATGGTGTTATTTTCAATATGAGGTTAACATGGATAGCAATTATTATAATTTTTAGTACGAATGACATTGAGAGAGAGTTGTACATTTCATTATCATTTTAAATAATTATTTAATTATGTAATATGATAATGTTTTAGATCTGTCTTATTCGCGTTCGTTTGTGACGTAACTGAGATGTGGTAATGAATTGATTATGCATTTAAAAAAATATATGTTTGATTGGGCTTTTTCATCTGGTTGATTCTAAGGTGATTTATCAACGCTCTGGAGAGATAAAAACATTTAACTTTTGACGCATGGTTCACCGAGTTTAACTGTGTAAAACACTCGTTTGGACGGAATACCCAACGAAATAAACCTAGCAATCTACAGTTGTGAGGAATTTTGACAATGAAGGGGGGTTGTTTGAAGGTATTTTGACTCATCTACAGTCGCGAGGGAATCCTGACACTAATAAGGATGTTTGAAGGTAGATATCTAGGCTAACTGCAAAACATTCGGTCAGGACGGAATGCCCAATGAAGCCTTTCTTCCTCCGCCTTCTAGGGGCGCAAAGAATCCTGACGCTGAAGCGGCGTTCGATGGCATCTTCCGCATCGGACACTTTCTGTATGGTGTGGTATTTCGGCAGGGTTATCGTGATATTCGAGCAAGGGAAAAACACGCTGCAGCCGAGAGCTATCTGCCCCATCACACTGCCCGGTGCAATGTCAAAACCGTTCGAGAAACTGCTGTTGTTGCACATGCGCTCACACCTCGTACCACACGAAGAATTGTACGGCTTCAGAACCGAACACTCCACGACCGAGCAGGATGCAAGGGTACTACATGACCTGGCAGCAAGCATAACTATGCTCAATACAATGTCACCGACCTATCAAAACAAAGCTTTCCCTCGACCTTACACGATATATTATAATTAGATAGTTTTCTAGGTCAAATGTAAATTAATTCGACGTTTCGACTATATCTACTTTTATTCATCGATCAATCGATACACTGAATTTAACATTATGTATTATTTAACCAATTTTAAAGAAATAAGTACGCTATTTGCCTCAGTAATTATATAACTCAGTGTTTCATACAAATCTCATGAAAAAGCATCACTAACAATTCAAGTCACCAACCTATCAAGACAATGCCTTCTCACGACTTTATGCTATAATTGGGTAATTTCCTAGGTCAAAAATAATTTAGTTCGACGTTTCTATAGGTACATTAAAGTATTGAAAAATAACTATACTTTCATTCATCGATTATAAATTTAAATACTTTTTTAACTAATTTTTAAGAAATACGTAAGCTAGTTTTTAAGACTTACACCCGGTTTCCGGAAGGCCGATCAATGTTAAAATCAATTTAATCTCTTGTCAAGTCATCTGATTGGTTGACTGAATTATCAACAACCAATCAGATGACTTGACAAGAGATTTAACAGGAGATTAGTTAATTTTACCGTTGACAAGCCTTTCAGAAACCGGGTGTTAGTGTTTCATACAAAATTCATAGAAATATATCATTTTTGAAGTTTACTTAAAAGTATAGAATTTAACTAGTTCCAAACTATTGCAATATTCAACTTCAAGATCTATTTGGTCTTGAAGTTGAAAAAAAAAGAAATTGCTCCTAAATAAAAATTAAATCCTCATTAGAATCATCAAAGAAATTCTCATAAACTGACAAAAAAACATATTTTCAAACTTTTCAATACATTCAAAATTCAGAATTAACTTCATTCATTGATTTTAAATATTGTACATTTTTTATGCAGATTTAACTTGTTGTAAGACAACTTTAAACATCTCCCATCCATTTTCAAACATTAGCAATTTTTGTAACCAGTAAACAATACAAATGTATCAAATACCCTACATTAACTTCAAATAAGAACCAAATTTCTTCACTGTGAGAGCCCCATACTTAAACTCTATAAAACAATGTGATTTTAAAAAAAACTGTACCAAAAACTATTTAAATCATAGAAACTCTAACAAAAAATATAAAAAACATTACTTCACCTCAAATATACAATAATATTTAATATAGAACCCCAAGACAAGTCGCAATTTTTCTAATTTTCAAAATTAAAAAAAATATCATAACTTTAAACCTAAAACTTCCCGTTCAGCAGCTGCGCTCGCAACCACCGCACCAACATTCAGTAACGCAAAAACTAGCAAACTGGGATTCGATTCGATTCCCACATAAAACAATTAAATAAGTCCATAATAAATTTGTTATCCGGGTCTGAAATGTGTGTGTAAACCACGACAATACGACGAAAAATCCAACTCAGAACAACGTTATAAAAAATTCAAAAATAATCTAGATTATTCATATGTTCAACACGGTGCCGCGGTGGTAAAGGCTCTCGCTTCTTATGCATGAGGTCGAATCAAAACCCGAAACCTGAAACTTTTCTTAGTTACATATACATTTTAAGTAGGTACATAAAGACAATACTGACAAACGGTGAAGAGAAACATCACAACGAAACCTGGACTTATAATTTCTAATTATAAGTTTGAAAGCACCTAGTTATACTGAAATTGTCAATCACGCTTTCGTCCCTTTCTGATAACGTATTAATTTGTTCCTTCTTTTAAGTGTGGGAGAGCCATGCTTCGGCACGAATGGGTCAGCTCGACCGGAGTGATACCACGGTCTCACAGAAAACCAGCGTGAAACAACCACAGTGTTGTGTTTCGCCGTGTAAGTGAGGTTATCGGAGACTCAATCCTTCCCCTTCCCAATCCCTCCCCAGTTCCTAAATCTCCAAATCCCTAATCCCTAAAAGGTCGGCAATGCACTGGTAACTCCTCCGTTGCGGGTGTCCATGGGCGGCGCTGATTGCTTACCATCAGGTAATCCGTCTGCTCGTTTGCCGACCTATTACATAAAAAAAAAAACTCATTCTTTATCAACATACCGCAGTGGTGGTAGAACTGGAATGTGCGTTGGGACTGACGTAGGACGGGGCTGCGTTCTCCACGACAGTGGCTCTCGGGGCTGGCTCCATGGCTTCTGGTAGTGGTACCATGGCGGCCAGCCTGGCGTACTCAACGTCCATATTCCGTATGAAGGGGCTGGCCAACGCCCGCTTCGCTGACTCCCTGTCCTCTTCATCATAAGCCTGGAGGATCTGTTCCAATGTCTGCATCTCCGCCACCTCGCAGTTGCTGCCCCATTCCTGTAACACGTAGTTAAATTAGTAAAGTTTTATACTAATAAACTACCTACTAGCTGTCAAGGCAAACTTTGCTTTGCCATATAAATTATTAGCTACTTCTAGCGCGGTTTCACCCGCTGCTCGGCTCCATTTAATCGTAGCGTGATCTTTTATAGCCTATAGCACTCAGGAACATTGTAGCTATCTATCAGTGAAATCATTTTGGCAAACCGACTAATCCTTTCAAAGATCACCTCCTACATACAAACTTACAAATTTTACCTTTTTATAATATTAGTATAGATTTATAACTTAGGGGAACATAAAAAAGAGCCAGTATCCAATTCTCAGGCATACTAAATATGCATATAAAGTTTGGTTAAAATCAGTAAAGCCGTTTCGTAGGAATAAGGTGACTGCACAGGTGGTGCGGTGGCTGGGCAACTGGCTGCCGTGCAACGTGTCGCGGGTTCGATTCCCGCACGGAACAACACTTTGTGTGATCCACAAATTGTTGTTTCGGGTCTGGGTGTCATGTGCATGTGACATTGTATGTTTGTAAACGCTCCCACAACACAGGAGAAAATCCTAAAGTGGGGCAACGTTTTATTTAAAGAAAAAGAAAAGGTGACTAACATTGTGACACGAAAATTTTGTATCATAGTTACGAGGTAAACAGGACAAAACGCAATTCTGGGCTAGCATTATATCTATTGTGATGTACTTCAACTAAGTTACAACAACCGGTTTTGTAGAAGACTTTTGCCATAAACAGAATAACAATTAGAATGAAGACATGAGAAACTCAATACTTTTACTCACTTTAAAGTAGAACCACTCAATTAAGGATAATAACTTCATTTTATATTGCAATATAGATTAAGTAAAAAGCAAGGTACATTTATATCTCAAGAGAATTTTAAAAATTACGGGAACGATACTTCGGCACGAATTGATCGCGCCGGCCCATTAGCGCCTTATAGAAAAATGGCGTGATCCAGCGCTGACGCGGTATTTTGCGGTATGAGTAGCGGAAACCCAATCCTACTTAAGGTTACCTATAACTGAAAGTTTTGGTGTTGCAGGTGTCAATGGATTCTGCAAAAAGCTTACCATCAGCTTATCCAACAGAATACATGTGACCGACCTTGTACGCTTTCTCAGCGGCGACGGCATCTCCCCTGGCGAGCTGAACGAGGACGATAGCAACGGTGAGTCTTCCAATAGCTCCCATATTGCCAGCCTCCTGGTGGAAGCCGATCTCCCGCCGCAGACTGTCCACCGCCTGGTCATAGCTGCAATCAGTTAAATTCACATTTAAATTCAACGAACACAACTTAAAAAAACAGTTTAACATTAACCATATTTAACTATAAGTGTGGGAGAGCCGAGCTTCGGCACGAATGGCTAGGCTCGACTGGAGTGATACCACGGCCTCACAGAAAATCGGCGTGAAACAACAACAGCATTGTTTTCGCCTTGTGAGTGGTGGCTACGTACCGAAGGCAATCCCTCCCCTCCCCAAAAGGCCGGCAAAGCACTCGTAACTCCTCTGTTTTTGCTGTTGTCCATGGGCGGCGTTAATTGCTTGCCATCAGGTAATCCGTCTGCTCGTTTGCAGACGTATCACATATAAAAAGTGTAAGTACTTTTAAAACCTCAAAAATTGCTCGATCTAGATATAAAATCCCCAAGATCATTGTTTTCAGTCGGTGACTGTATAAAAGACCTTTTTATAAAGAAAATGAAAAGCAATGATGCGACCTACGATGGAGCACGCCTACCCATACGCAACTTATTCACTTGAGCCTAGAAAGCATCCAGGTTATATTTTTTAGTTAAGCAGTGTTTTAGACACTGCTTGCCGGATTGGTAATTTGGTAATTTCAAATTTACAATTCAAACAGGCAAGAAACAAAACTCTTTTTAAAGGTTTATGGGAACCATAGAGCTTTTCTATGAAAAATAATGATTGGTAATTACCGTTGCAGCTTGACGAGGATGCGGGACGCTTTGCTGATGTACTCTGAACCCTGATGCTGACTGCTCTCCGTCTAAGGGGAGAAACAACATAATTGTTAGTAACCGTTTATTTCTCCCATGGCAAAACCTTACCTTACCTCCAAGACGGGGAAATAAATATACACAACATATAAAATATTTATTTTACATAATTAATTATATAAATTAATATAACAATAATAATATAATCTAAAGCTGAAAAAGAGATATATTTAATACTCCTCCGTTATATATTTATTTATTAAAATGTTATATTATCAACTAAAATCTTGAACTAGGTATACAGGAGATCTTTATTCAAACCTTTAATCTAAAACACAAACATTGATTGGGAAAGTCGAGACAAAGGATTCTAACATTTATTTTCATATCTATAAAGATTTATTTGGTATTTATTGTGAGTACAACATACGAATTTGAATTTGGCTAGGTAAACTAAGATTAGGTAAATATCCGCTTCAATCAGGATTATTTTGATGGACACATCTTCCCCAGCACACCTCACAAAAGTATTCCTTAGGGTCCGTTAGCATTGTAACAGAGCTGGCTTGAACTGACAAAGATAATTTTAATACCATTCTATTATTTTATATACATTTGATTACTAAATGTTACCAGGTTGATAATAAAGGTTAACATTTAATATATGATTTGAAAGTGTCCTTCAGATTTCATTGCTACACATTTAATAATTTAACTTACAGGGATCTTAAAACTAATCGCATATTTTCCCCCATTGGTGATTTATTTTCCGTTCCTGAACCTAATCACTGAGTGGTTTTCAATCGCAACTATAACCTGTAACGCTGCCTTATTTAAATTGCTGTCTTCATCTGGATCTTTGTCGTAGTAAGTTTAGGCAGAATGTAATATTTTTGTCTTGTTTTCTTTTGTGAAATTATGAAAAAGGTCGGTTCAACTGTAGTGACATCAGGGTCTGACTGAAAACGGTGTGAAATGCTTGCGTTGCGGTAATAACATTGTTAATTATTATTATCTAATGATTTCTTTTAAATGGAATGTCCGATAGGATTAATTTAATATGTCATTAAAAACACTGACATAATTTTAGTTTAGATGAAAGCGATCCAATGATTTTAGCACCCAATCTGTGGTGTTATGATGACGAAACATATCTGAACAATATTTGCAACGTTTCTTGCAAGTTTCGCAAGTTGGTATTCTGTTAGGCTGTTCATCTATATCATGACAAAAATATAATGCTGTAACAAAAATAATGATGAATATAATATCAGGTCCAAAGCAGAGTCATACTTTTAACAAATATCAATTGTACATAAATCTCCCAAATAGTATACTGTAGGGAAATAAACATTTCCAGTTTTTATTCAAAAGGAAATTAAACACACCTTCTTAATACTGCTAAAATAATGCAGCCGCCAAAATATACAGCGGTTTAATAAAAAAATAAAAAGAATATTCATCAACAATATAAAAAAGTTACTGAATAATTTTTTTAGGTAAAGTTTTGTAACATTAAAATATAAATAATTTGTTTCTTTCGTTGAAAAATAGAGCATTTTATCGCGGGTTAATAATATTCATTTCGGGCAGGCATAAAACAAATGAACAATGGTTTCAGTATAAACATAAATCCATCAATGAATCGTCCCATTTTAAGTTAAGCAATGACTCTAACTAGTTACATATCCCTTCCTACATATATCAATCTAAAACTCAGTATTAGTGCTTGTGTTTCAAAACATTGCACCTTATTAATATTTTTATAAGACTAAGTACCAATAAATTCGTTGATTTAAAATTTATTTACAAAACTACACAAAGAAATATATGTATTATTTCACACTATTATTACACGGATGAAGCCAAAAAAATGCCCTGTACTAATTCTAGTCTTCAAAAAGCATCTTGGGACTAATTCCTTCATCAATTAAATTTTGTAAAGGTTTAGCTTTAATTTTTTGTTGATACTTCGCGGGTAAATATGTTCTCTGAACCGCTTTACGCTCGCTCGCCAACCATACAGCTGAAACGATAATTGTTCTTTTAAAACTACTTATAAGTGAAAGCGTCTTTAGATCTAAGAGACACCTTTTCTTAAGCAACCCTGGTACACAAATTTTAAGGATGGTCATGTAAGCTATGATGGTAAAATTGTAATAAATAATGATGGCGTAGCTTATGTAGCAGTGATGAAGTTTCAGCAGGTTTAGAATCGTTTGTCGGTTCAGCTCAGTTCCATCATCAGTCTAGCTTCATATACAGTCATCATCATCAGTCCGAAGCCGCTTCAGTGCTCCAATGATCTCAACTTCCCGCTCATCGCGTCTGACCATATCATTATGTTGGGTATATTATAAACACTACACATAGCTGGAGAACTTTAAGAGCGCGCAAGACTAACTCATTGTTGCATTCGTGCAAGCACAACGCGCGATTCTGTCCCGCGCAATGTTCCACAGCAACTGAATTCCCGGGGGCCAAGCTGCCGGTCGTGCATTCCCTCCCGCGCCCCTCAATTCCCATAAACCCACCCAACCCCCTACCCCCTACTCCTAACACTGCATCTTTGCGTGCATACAGCCGGATAAACAAGCATAACCTTTTTTATACATTTTACATTCTTATTATTAACCGGAATGTAAAATATAATTAGTATAATTACTTACACATTTATTAAGTGTTCTTAACATCACAGTGGGTATTAGATTGATATCGAAAGTTTTTAGCTTTAAGATTAATAAAATCTTGATAATTTTATTTTTAATGGTGCATCCCATAATTTCGCTCAAATCGTCATTCCTCTCCATGTCAGCCAAAGAAACAACGCACATACGTCATAATAAAGGAACTTTTGCATTTATCCTTCTCTCATTCTTCTATTAAACCTATCATTTGGCTATAGAAAAAAATATTTCAACGGATGAAGTAGATGGTAAAAAATTATCACCATTACAGAACAAGTGAAGTTCTGTTCAACAATGGCTTACTGTGCGCTTAAACCACGTTGTCATTTCCTCGACCTCTTGTCCGAGTCGCCAAACATGGCGCAAACATTTTGAAAAACCCTACCAATCACAACGAGCAAGCCAGAAAAATTAGGACAAATATTTAACATTACTTAATTAAATTTCAAAATGCGAATTTCTTTGCGAACATTCCATAACTCTCACCAAGCATACTTTTAATAAGTACCGACGCATTTTTGAAACGGGATTACAAAAAAAATATACTTTCTTCGTAAAAATTGAGCCACGAAAAATGTTAAGGATATATTTTTTTCTTTTGTTGTTTTTTCGCACTGGATTTTAAGCTTACTGCCTTACTCAAGGAAATTCCAGGACGTGTGGTATAAGGAGGAACTTCATATTAATAAACAAGGGGGAAAATGGTGTAGAAAGGGATAAGTAATTCTTAGTACTCCCCTTCACCCCGACATATTATTGGATGACATCTAAAATCAATAAAGCTACATCTCAAATCCCCTGTACCATACGGACACATGTTGCACGCAACGGTGCATAACATTTTAATCTTTACACGACTAGTGTAAGATTCATTTTAAATGTACTACCAACGGCATTTACGGTCGTTTGTCAACGCGGTAGATTATAAGGCATTATTCATTCGGTGCCTACGTTAGTCCTTTCGGTATAGGGTCCATTACGCTTTGAATGAAATGGATGCAACCTAAATTGAGCCTAATAGAAGAAAACTTTAGGTATCGTGGAAGGGGTTATGATCAGCCAATTTAGCTAAGCCATATACATCTAACTAAGTAGCAGTTAGTAGAATATTTCCATGGGTATTTCCCCCTACCCCCCCCTTCCCCTACCTACTCCTGATTTGCTAAGCTAAACGTTTCCCTTCAAGTTACTGAGGATTAGTTCTTTACCAATTTGTTACAACCTGGGTGTAATCAATCAGTAGGGTTACTGATGTTCTTTCCTTTCATACATCTCTATCATATTGTCCTTAGGTATATGCATCCGCCCAACATTCGTCTACACAGTTCCATTTATTATGCCTTGCAAAGGGTCTTTTATACAAACATTTCAATACCTTGCATTCATAACTCAATTTATTAAGCTTTGTCTCTGCATTAAAATAAAGACAATTCGATTAATCTACAAGAATGTAGGCAACTAAGAGGATGAACAATGCAAAGCCCACGTTAGTAAAGAGAGAAGAGTAACAAGCCTAATTTAAATAAAGTCTGGCTGTTTGGTGTATTGCCGGTCAGAATAGTGTTGTTCTGACATTTCTCCGAAATGTAAAAAAAACCAAATTTTCTACAAATCAGAGAGAGCGGTGCGGGTTCTAAACCAGGCAAGAACCCATGTGATTTCTTCCCAGTGATATCTTCTCTTTAAGTGATTTAGATATTTAGACACCACTGCCAGACGGTGAAGGAAAACATTTTCAAGAAACCTGGACTTACAATTTTTTCAAGTATAAGTTTGATATCGGCTATCCGCCATGAGTAGGTAAGGGTGGTGATTAACGCTCAAACCTAAACCTTGTATGCTCCTGATGATTTTAGTTCAAAGTATTTAAGTCATCAGCTAATTCGATAATTTCCAACTAGTCAAATTCAATACTTTTATTAAAATGTCAAAAACGAGACTTCTATGAATTTTGTATGTATTCGTAAGATGTAACGTCATAACGTCGGTAGGTCAAAGAGCATAAGTACATAATAATATATATTTTTAACAATTTCACTAGAAAAAGTCCAAAACTAAGGTATGAAAGCCAAATCAATGAATGAAAGTATGACTATATTTTAATATTTCATCTTAAAAGTAAAATAATTTATTGTTGACCTAGAAAATCACCAAATTCTGTTATGGTTATGATGATGCCATTCATATCCTCTTTACTGACCTAGATATCAGGCTAGAAATAGAAATATAAATAGCTCTGCAAAGCCAAATAATTCATCTCTGATTACCCTTTTATAACAAATTTTTCAATTTCTGACTGTGAAGCCCACAATTCAGTTCCCGGGAATCACTTAAAACTTTCAATTAATATTAACGATTCGGGTATTGAACGAAGTTTCTGGAAACTTATTCCTTCGATTTCATTTTACCTATCAGCCCAAGATATTGACGTAGGTACATTTTACGAACTAATAGCTACGCGTTTTGTAAAACTCTGTGCTTTCTGCAATAGAAAAATATTTGTGTGTAAATAATATAATATACTGCAATAAGCATTGTATAAAAAATTTACAAGGTAAGCGTAGCTTCTATATAAAGGTCTTAACAAAGTTATGTTAATAACTTTTTCTCATACACTTTACTGAAATAACAATCGCTATTTTTCATCATCGCCAAAGCTGATTGGAAGTGACTTGCGTCCAGCGGCTTTCTATGACCTTTATCAAGTTAGTCCACAATGTGGATGGAAGTCATTGCTTTTTGTAAGAAGAGTGGATTCCTTTTTATAAGTGATTTCAAATTTGGTTGTTTGCGATCGTGCAGCTTTTAATTTACATTTGTTAAATGTTTAGTTTTACTAACCCAAGGACGAGTAACTCTAGACTATTTTAGGTTGTTATTCTTGCTACCGGGTATCTATTACACCAAAATGAGTCAGTTTCTTTCATTATTATTTTTACATGAAGTACAGAAAGCTATTCTGACGATAAACCGAATAGCCTTACAGTCAGAAATCGACAGTTTTGTGTAATAAAACATATATTATCATAATAAGGGTGCAGTTCCATTGAGGCGGAGCGGAGCAGAGCGGAGAAGAGCTGTGCCGCGATTCACCAATCACGTGGCTTGAAATCCACATCTCTAATGTGTATCTATCTCGCATGTGGATTTCAAACGCTCTGCTCCGCTCCGCCTCAATGTAACTGCACCCTTAAGGCTGATAAACCGTGCTGTGTCTGAGCTGTGCAATGTCCGCAGCACGGATGGGATAAGACGATGAAATATTGGTATACGTTTATATCACGGAAGTAATTCATGGTTGTCCATGCCTCAGCGTTGAAGTAGGTACCGGCGCATATTATTTCCTGACTCCGGCAGGGTGCGGCGCCGGTACATTCTAATATAAATTCTAAAAACATTGTGCACACGGGAGCCTGCCAGGCAGAGGACAACAGCGCGGTGTAGCATGAATCACCACCGGCGGACGAAAGACTTATCCCGTCCTGACATAGCAAGGTCTAGCTAGCGCAAATCATTCTTGAACCTCTTGTCTCCTGGGACAACCGAGGTCCCTAAAAAAACATTGGAACTGAACAGTTGTAATGTCGCAGATGTTCAGCACCAGTGTCAAAAGACCTACCTTTGTTGACCTAACATTACAGCCTTGGAGCACAACGAAGCACCGACTCAAATTCTTCTGTGTTCTGTACATTATTATATCCAACATAGAGTTTTTGTGTATGTGTTGTTGAGTTGCTAAGTCGTAATATTCTTTGATCGATTTTAATCGATATTTCTTTGCAATAAAAGCTAAAATCTATTAATGGATGGATGGACGACATAGCTACTCACTTATGTCGACTTCTACACCTAGTGTGGATATATGGTAACTACTGATACTCATAATAATATGGTGTTACATAAAGGCTTAACACTGAACCACAGGTGAAATTTGACCCAAAAGTTTGAATGGTTTATCAACAAACCTAGTATAACAAATTCATATGCGAAAAAAAACTGGAAGTAAGCTGAGTTCTTTGTGCAATTTAATATTTGGACACAAAGGAACTCCGTTAATTTGATAAGTTTTAAGGTTGATAGACTCAATGTTATCGACTTGACATTTATTAATGCAGTAATATAAGAAACTCCCGATATCGACAGATTATCCTCCTGTTAAAAAATATACGACTTCTGCACTGTTACTGGCTTTTAATCAAGAGCATTTTAAGTCGTAGATATTACAGAAATGGGATGACCTAGAACTTCTTTATTTAATGGTAATCTGTGCTCTATTGATGTGTAGTTGACACAGTAATTGTGAGTGGTTTCTTTTTTAACACAGTTTTTTATTTTGTGTGATCCACACAATGTCGTTCTGGGTCCGAATTTCACGAGAAAATACTACAATCTAGTTTAACAAGCCTTATAATCATAAACAATATTCTAAGCAAATATATTTAATATTAAGTGAATTTATCGACTTTCAATTTACTAGTCTTATTGGCAACATTATATGAGTTGGATTCATTATAGATGTGGTCCTAAAATGGTGTGTTTTTCAAGCTATCGCATTGCAAATCCCTTGGTGCATATGAATGGTGCGGGGAAATAACGAAACGGTGATATACACTACTGACCATATAATGACACAATATTAATAGTAATAGTAATACAGAAGTACTATCTACTTGACAAGAATGTTTAGTATATGTACTGCCGAAGCAAGTACTGACAAGAATGTTTGAGAATGATTACACTTGTTGAAGACATTAGAATAACCTAACAAACTAGATTAGCGCTTACATATTATCTTATTTAACTCGTAAATACCGATACAATACACTGAGATCATTGAACAAAAATATTACACCTAGAGTCAATCACAAATATGTTTTGACACGAAGCTCTTAATTTTTTTCCGAAATTTTATTTTATGGGCCTTTGGCTCCAACATACAGGAATCTAAACCTTAACATTTAATGTCACTACTTTTTTTAATATATTTTAAAATGTAATATATGCCTTTTTAAATTTCACAGAAATAAGAATTTTACTACGGTCATACGGTATGACAGTATGCAAATTCTCTAGACCATAAAGTAAGACTTCGAACGAAGACTTTCTTCAACGAGGACTCACAATTATTGTATAAGAAATACATCTTTGGCATATTTTGAAGAAATCCGAACATCATCTATGTTCAGACGCTTTTGGCAAATTCTGATTAAAAACAATCAAATCAGAATTTATCTCTGAAATTCATCGATAAAGGTCCGCCTCGGACGGTGGTCTGAGCCTGTTTGATCGGCCTGAGTTAGCCCTGAGCTCGCGCCTTCTTCTACGCGCCTAATAAAGTCATCCAAAACCCTTTGATCAGGAGGGTTTCCAAAATTTAACAAAATCTCCGGCACAGTTAGCTGTATGTTCAAATCTTGTGACAATCGTCTCTGGAATTCCTCAAAAAAGTTCTGCCTTGGATGGTTTGCAAAACTTGGTCCCGGATTATCCGAAACACCACTATCCATAGCATTTTCATCGTGAAGTATAACCTGAAGATTTGCCAATACCTCATCTGGTTGGGCCAAGGAGAACCCTGCCTGGGACGTAGAGGGTCCTGGCTGAGGATCCAGAGCCACAACGCTCGTTTCATTTGGCAATAATTCCGGAATTTCGGGAGGTACATCTGGCTCTGTGACCTCTTCGGGCCTTTCTGTTTCTGACACCTGCGTGAATTGATCATGAAGAGCTTTAAGCCTACGGTCCAGATCTTCATCTAATCGTTTTAGTTCTCTATCTATGGCAGCTGTCTCCCTGTCATGTTCATTTTGAACAGCCTGAACGCGACCTCTCAGGGCTTGGTGCATCATTTCATCAGCTTGCTGTGACGTCGTTGCCGTCGCCGTTGGTGGTATCCTTGGTCGGGATGTAGAAGCTGTCGCCGAGTCCCACACGTGCTCCGACCGAGACCTTATGTTGTCTCTGTACAAGGACTCCACCTACGACAAATGACAACAACATGGTAGCCACGGTCGGTAGATAGTTAAAATAAAGTTTGTATACATGCTATATGTTAAGTAGTATGTTAAGGGCAAATTGAAAAGCAGGAATTAGTTTTTTCAAACTTACTGTATTCTTAGCTGTATAACATAATTACAAGTATGTGACAATATACGTACGCACCTTGATACACATCTCGAAGGCCGGATCATCGCAAGCAGTACAGTTCTTGTAAAAATCATCGACAAACTTAATTATATGTTTCGTGTTAATACGGCCCCAGTACTACAACAAAAATGAATGATACAATACTATTAGATAAGTTTATTATAAATATTAAAGTATTTATATTAATAATCATAATTTATAATTTAAAATATTTTAAAACTTTCACCTTGCGCCAGGTTCTTTCAGAAAGGCGTGTTCCTCTAGAATGGTTCATACAGTTTGCATACCATTGCCAGTCGGCAGTTACCGTTGATGTCCATCCCAAAGACGGACTACTTTCTGAGAAACCGTTGATGACAAAATTTTTGCGTTGTGCATTTCTAAGCTGCCTCGCCTACAAAAAAACAGCATATTAACTGGCCGTGTGCGGTAATGAAACGAAGACCGAATATATTGTATGCCATACTGTCTAGATAGAAAATTTGTAATGTATCAAAACAGGCTCGTAATACAAGACAGTAAGGCATAAAATTTAAAAGCAATTTAAAGCTACCCAAATAGTTATTGGGTAGCTCCCATAAAATTGGCACGTCGACGCTACTTACTAAAATGGTTTACTATGACCAGGTATTTATAACACACTTTTCTCAATACTCGCACTTACTACCAACCAACTTTTAAAAAACTCGCTGATCATTCAATAATATCACAAACGATATCAAAGAGTAATTTATAAAGCACCTCATGTAAGCAAGCACCTTTATAACAACTGCAATTTCTTTTATTAATAATTAAACTATTACTTTAATTAATCAATGCTTTACAAATGACCAAACATTAAACAATATTTAAAATAGTCTCGTTCATTTTGGTTACCAAGAACATATCAAAATATCGCAAAAATATAAAAAAAAACTAAATCTAACTATAAAACAAAGAAGAAAACTTGTATTTAAAAAGATATATAGTTAAAAATAAATAATTTAAGTGCAAATAAAAACTATATGGATACTTACAAAAAAAAAACGATTTTTGTAAATCATGCATGCACGACTGCAGAAACATTACTAAAACCATCGTCCTGCTAAAAAAATCCAGTTTTGAGACCTAATAAACTGCCAGATAACATTTGTATGATCTGGGTCTCTGGATCTGAATAATATCATTTTTTTCTGTTTTCTTGTTATAATACTGCTTCAATAAGTCCAATATTTAAAGTAGAATAGCTCATATTATTTCAGTTATAATATTTCTACAATGGCTGATATCACAACGCCGCACGCACTGCTCACGAATATGAATCCTGGTGAGACTCGAAACCAGTCAAGCATTTCTTAAAAAGCTTTTTTTATGTATACAGTTTTATTTCCGATTATTTCAATTAATTTGGTATATTTTAAGTAAATGAAGAATTATTTGTAAAACATAATTGCTCTGAATGTAATAAATAGTTTTAGAATTTATAGAAATTAAATTTTCTTATTATTACTTTTTATGGAGACAACGTCCTAAGTAAAAAAGGAAATATAAATATAAGAAATAAAACAATCATCAAAAGAGGGGAGCAGCCAAAAAATTAACAAATATGTACCCGTAGCGAGCACAAAAAGAAGAACATCAACCGTATTTTTCTAACAGAACCAGATCATACCCACTCTATATAAAATAATTACAACCTAAATTCAATAAATAGGTTGGTAATTAGAGCAAATCCTATTTAAAAAAGTTGATCTGTCTGGTGTGGACTGGGTATGTATTAATTTACGGCGGCCCCCTCCTGAAGCAGAAGGTACGGCCCCACCCTGGGCGAGAGAAATCATTTGATGATGCGATTGCATGTGCATTGTACTTTACATAAATATAAAACAATCCAATATCCACTTTTTACAGACTTTTTCTTTACGAGAGAGCCATGCTCCGGCGCGAAAAGGCTGGTTTAGTGGAATGATACCAAGGTCTGATAGGAAAAAGCATATAACAACGCTTATCTTGCATTTCGCTGTAGGTGTGTAAGCCCCAAAGGGAAGAAAACGCACTTGTAACTCATCCGGTGTCGCAGATGTCCATGGAGGAACCGATTGTTTACTATAAGAGAATAAGTAGATATGTCTGCTTATTGGCTATCAAAAAAGTAATAGTCTGAGTAGCCCTAGCAACAGTCACTGCATTTTTACCACTCGATGAATGAGTCATTCAAAAATGCTACAGATTTTCAGTCACATTTTTTTAAATAAAATATTCTTCGCTATATTAAAAGCTGTATGCTATACAGATCGGTCAGGGATTCATCCCAATCTGTGTAAACAATAGTCCTGACAGACTAAACGATTCATCATTAACAAGCTTAGACCAATGAAACAAGTCTTAGAGACGAAGTACCCTTTTGCCTAAATTCAGTAAGTTGTACCAAGTACCAAGGTAATATATTTTATCAAAATTCAAAAATACAAGCCTTGCCTATGGACATTGAATATACGGGGAAATAAAACACAATTAATGATCAGGAAATTTTATTTCTTTTCTTCTCTCTTGCCCTTGCATGCTGCTGGACACGAGGCCAAAAGAAACTAACGATGTGCCAATTAAGGGGAGGAAGGAGGGATAGGAGTGAAGGGCCTAACAGAATAAAAGGGTACCCCGTTCTCTTTCCAAAACTGTGACCTTGAATGCTTGTTAAGGATCTTAAAGTATACTTACAGAAGATTTGAGACAGTGAGAATTCACAGTCCATATTTTGGGAAACACTACCCTAGTATGTTTACAAGAAAAATAAAGTAAAATTAGAGAACTATCAGATTTTTCGCGCTGTTATCAAATAAAAATATGTATTTCTTCCGATAAATTTGGCTCCTTTAAGTTACCGCGTAATAATATTTTTTTTTCATCTCATGTCAGTCATTTGGATTACAGACGAAGGCCTGCCTCGCTGCACAGATCCGGCCCTGTGTGCAGACTACACGTTCTAATAACAGTGTGGGTAGATTAAAATATATGACATATTATAAACTTTATTATTTTAGAGTATGTAAAATTCGGAAATAATGAAGCATTTGTATACATATGTTCAAATGCTGGTGTATGTGCAATCTGCCAAGTCAAAGGTAACAGATAATCTTGAAAAACCTTAAAAAGTACGAATGCAACTCTGTAGAAATAACCAAATTGTCTCAAATAAGTGTCAGTTTTTTTGTGCATTCATAATAACTCAGCTTATTAGGCTTTGGACTGAGCACTTAATTCAAATAATAATATTCTATATTGCAACGAGTTCAGTCTTAGGCGATTACTCAAATTTTCACCTGTAATCGAATTGTCCAAACCAGCGGTAAAAATGTGATATTCTGGCTTATAGCATCACATTCGCTTGGCCGATCATATATTTAAATAACGGCAGCACAAACATCAAATAAAAAAATACAAATTTATAATGTCGCAGCGAAATGCTAACGGCAGAAAATCGCGAAAGAGTGACAAAAATACACACGTTTTTAGAATGAGCAGTCTGCAACAATTTTCCCCGAAACTCAGCCACAATTATTCCAAACAGTTAGGTATGTAGAGTAATATATCTGTTTTATTTGGTGATGTACTTACAGCAGACGCATCAGCCGCCATTTGGAATAACTCCACGGCTAGTTCAGGAGATGCTTCTTCTATGATCTTTGCTGTCTTGCCGAGTACGCTCGCAGCACTGTCACCCGAACCGTGTTGTTGGTACAGCTCCCCTGACTCCAACGCCAATTTGTGCAACTGAAAAGAAAAAAGAAATTTAATAAAATATTCGCTCCATTCTAAGGACCCAACATTAGAATGCCGTTTTACTTTGAATACGCTTTCGTTTTATTTAAACCACAATAAAAAATTGCACAAATTCAACAAGTACATGTTAAAAGTGAATCTGTAATGAAAGTAAAGTTTCCATTATTCAAATATCATTTATAGATGTCGCCAGTAGCGCAAGCGACGGTAGCGACATCTGCCATTGTATCACAGGTCGGTGAAAACACTGGCAACTTCAGACTTTTGAAAAGTTAGCATGGTACGTTAAAATTCTGAACCTTAACAGCAAACCAAAACAACAAACATCGTAACGCGTATCAAAATAAAACAACACATCACTTAGTGCCTATTATTTCCCGAGATAGGCAGTGAAACACCCTTCGCGCCAGTCACCGAGGGGGCACCACACTTACAATCACTTCGCGAACGCAATAACCCTATTAATAAGTGGCTACTTTACCGTAACACTATATTATTTAACTTTTAATTTAATTACACTTTAAATGAATGCTGCACTCAATAAAAATGTGCAGCTTACAAGCGGTGCGTCCGTCACCCACGGACGCTATCCCCAGCCCGCCCTTGTAGACAGCCCGCGTCAGAGCTTGACGCGCATGCGTGATACGCTTCACTATCAATCTCTATATATATATTTCAACAAATCAATATCCCGCCCTTCCTTATTTACGAGCTACGCATGTGCAAGGAGCATCAATCTACCACGTTGGGCGAGTGAAGCTACAGGATACCTAATCCCCTTAGCCCGTCCCCCTCCCCCAACAACGCACTTGTTGCTTCTCTGGTATAGCGGGTGGCTTGCGACCAGGTGATCTATCTGATCTGTCTACTATCCGGTCCAAAAATTCAAAAAGAAAATGGCTATTTATGACCCCGCTTCAAGTTGCAGACTCTGTCCCTACAGTGCCTACGCTCTGCCTGATGTAAGGAAAGTACTATATTAAAATAGTACTAGTACAAAGATTAACTTCTGCCGACGACGTTCATATTATCATATCATGGAAATCATATACATAGTTTTTTTTTTTAAATCACGTTCAGGAGACGTCATTACGTCTTTGATAGGCTACATCAAAAATATGAAAAGTAAAAAAATCGTATGACATTGGAACCACACACCAATGATCTTAAACAACGTCGTGTGATCAACAAGTCAAAACGAGTAATGTCACGCTCACTTGAACAGAAGACGTTGCCTTTGTTCACATTGTATCACGAAACATTGGCTTGACGTGACTGAACTCAGAATTTATGTTAACCTCACTGAACGTAAGTGCGATGAACCGTGAACTGATCAAAGATTTCATATGTTATTAGTTTATTTGTCGAAATTTTACATTAAGTTTAAACTACACAACCGGTCAACTGCCAAGACCACTAACCACGATTTTGTATCTTCTTTAAGTACTAAGTAGTCCCTTTCAATGAATAACAACAAGTACAAACTAAGTTTCCGATGGTTGACAACCACCATACAGGTACTCAAAGTTTGTAACGTTTAAAAAGTTATATACATAGATAGGCTCAATGATAGAGATACCTATCTACCTACATATGCACGCCGACGACCAACGTCCGATAATGGGGTAGTTTCGTTTGGTCTATAGCCTACACTTTACCTAATTACGCACACATGTTTATGGTATTGGCCGATAAATTTTCTAACTACCTTCCATTAATCAAAATCGCAGTTCGAATCAAATTTAAAAATTAACCAATCAAATTATACAACTGAAAAAAACGAAAGATCATTTTGGACTGGCCCCTAGCAACAATAGGTCAACGCAACAATAAAATAGGAAGACCTACACGCTCCTTGAACATACAAACAAAATTATTGTTACACTCGAAACCCTCTTACAATAGGTTTATTGTGTTTGTAAATCAGTCAAGCGAATTTCAAGCAGCAACAATAGGAATTATATGTAAGTAGCGACCAAAATATCAAAACACTGTGAGGATCGGACGGAAATATAATAAAAACTTTGTTGATAAATTAATGAATAAAAATATAGGACTCGTTATTGTTAAGAGCACGGAATAGAAAATAAGAGGTTGTAGTTACCTTCCAAGTTTTGAGCGCACAGCTATCACTGCCCTGACTCATACCAATAGTTGTTTTATGGAACACCTGATCCATATGTAGTTTCGCGCCCTATCCCTATCCCTATCAGGTCATAGTGAGCAATCGGCCGCCCAAGAACAGATCCAACTCCAAAGGACTTACAATTGTGTTAAAGACGCTTTGTGGTCGTGTTCCCTGTGAAGGATTTGTGTATTCGGACGTGGGGATGGAAACAGTGCAAGAGTCGTTTCTCGCCGGTATTCTATGTCTAATAAAAGTACCCAGGTCGTCCTATACAGATATGTGGTTCGTGTATCACCTAAAGTTATAATACCCGAAGCTGTTATAACCGGCGTAAAAATGTATGTACAAGTCCATTAATAAACAAACAGATAAGTTAAAAAACTCTCTTAAAATGGGCTTCAGATATTAAATTCGAAACCAATATAAATCGCACTTAAGTCCATAAACAGCGGTAAAACCTAAAAAATATTTAGTAGACGATTTAATTTTGTTCCTAACACGAGAAGAGAGCAACAGCTCAAACCTGTTGCTGAAAAATAGCAATCATTACCATTCACAAAGAATAGAAAACAGAAAAGCTCAAAAACAAGAAGTTAGACGTTTTTAGTCGATAACTGAAGCTGAGAACCCCAACAATTGTCAGATTATGTTTTCAAATTATATCTATCGGAATCTACATACGTCATAAACGTCAAGTGATTACGACACAAAAAAAATATTGCGTAAAAACTGGCGTCATGACACATATGAGTATTGCACGTGTAATATGGTCACTAACGGTCTGCGAGATAAGCCCACAGTCGGGTGGCCCCACGACACCCCTTTAACAAATCCTTTGTTTCACCTTCGGGACGTGGGCGGTTCTGACAACACGTCAGATTGTGTATAATGTTTATGACATGTGTTCATTATTAATGAACTTTGTAAGGGCATAACTCCTCCACATTGAGTTGACATTATTCAATAGGTGAAGGATTAAAATAAAGTTCATCGACAAACCGTTTTACATAACACTCTCTCATTATTAGATTGTCAACTTTATATTTTTTGTGTTAAAGTTTAAATTTTATTTGAAAGATGGTCTAGGGTAGGGCTTACCTATAATATTTAAATTGTTCTCTTTTTAATTTATTACAAGTCGTGACGCCTACTTAGCCCCGAGAGAATTGAGTGTACGTTTTTTTAAATAGATAGACAACGCCATACTAATTATTTACCAATAATGTTAAAAGGCCTATTATAATTAGCCTATTGTTAGAAATAATTTCAGACATTGCGGTAAAACGTATTCCCCTCTTTTCAAAACAAGATTTATATTTAGTCCAGGTTTAAACCATTGAGTCGGGTTTTGAATTTTGAATCTTATTGTCATCTACCTTCAATTCTAAATACAAAAACTGGCTCAATGGTTTAGACCTAGACTAAAGTAAAACCTTGTTTTATAAAAAGGCCGATACAGTTTTAGGACAACCGACAAAATCTATTATGCTTTTATTGATACGGGAATGAGACCTTACGAATCTTTTCGAATTTCGACCATTAATTTGACCTATGACATTCAATATTGCAAAAATAACGCAAAAAAACATTTCGTAGAAAATACATACTTATGTTTTTTAGTTGGTGGGCTTAACAAATACGACGAAAATAATATTATAACAGAAATTTGAGAATCGGAAAGATCCAAACATATAATATATCATAACAGAATCTAATAATGAGCAGTTGAACAAAATATACGAAAATATCTCTTAATTAGCGCGCGTCCTCCGTAACCATGGCAACGCCGGGGAGCATGTTAGGCAACACCTTATTTGTGTATAGGTATACAATCCGTCTGGACGCGAATTATTACTGTAGGATTATTTTCTGTTCGGAGTAATAGTGCTTACCTAACTCTTTTCATTTCGAAAATAGCACTTCAACATATGCCTAAAAAAAGTTGGGACTAGCAGGACTGTCTGTTTATCTCCCTTTAATTTTCGCACCCTGCGTACAAAAGGACCACATGGGCGATCTATGGTCCTTTTTAACGCTTTGCTCGATCTATGGTCCTTTTGAACGCGGTGCTAAAACGCCACCGCTCTCTCTCTAAATATGACGGTAAATAAATCAACTTACTTATGAACAACTACGCAATACTTTTAGCAACTTTAGTCATTATAGCGTGTGTTAATCCATATGTCTACTAAACGCTCATACTTCATATTAATCTTTATCTGTCCAAACTAATATTAATATGTTATGAAGCAATAAGTTTCAGAGAAAGAGATCTCCCAGCCTCGATTTCAGATCAGAAAGATGTACGAGATATGATTGGTTCGAATTTTTTTCAATGGAATGGAGTATTTAATAATGCTTATTATATGGCACTAACTCATGGCGCATGTAGAATTGCCAATTTTCTGGATAAAAACGGACATAGTGAGGATTTTGATTACCTGTGCTGTCAAGAATACGAAGTCTCCGGCTATATCGAAATCTCAAAGATTTCGATATTTGCGCGCATTGAGACTCACTTCATTTACATGAGACTATTATAACATTTATATACAAATTTATGAGCCGGTGGCAAATATAGTACGTTCAAGATGCGTTTTTATGCAAGGGAAACTAAGGCTGCTATCCCACTAGTTTTACTAGCGTTGGCGTCAGCGTCGCGTTTGTGTTGCGTTGAGGGCGCGCTGATGCGACGTAGAAGTTGCGTCGTCGCGCGGCAGGCAATTTCGTTCGCCTTGTAGGCAACAAGTGTATTGATAAAGACTACATTTGATAGATCAGGACGGCGTGATATTATACCTAGCCGGTTAGGCTGCTAGCCTAAATAATCATAGAATAATCGGAAAGTCACAACGGTCTTTGCTAGGTTTCGAACCTGTATATACGAGGGGTACATGAGAAGCGGGCGTCTTAACCTCCTGGCCACCACGGGGTCAGATAAGACTTATTAACATAAAATAAATATATGCGGACAAAGTAACCACTAATACAACATCCACCCACAAAACTGTAAAATCTGACAAAAACCTTATGAAAATATTAATATATAGTTGAACTGACCGTTTTACTATTAAAATCCACTATAAAATTCACAAACTAATAAATCAAAGGTAGAATCAGAGGATAAGGGTAGTCGCGACAAATGAAACAAGCTTTGTTCTGTTTGGTTTATTGAAATTGACGCGTCGGTGACGTGAGCCCAAACCCCAGATTTGCGGGAGAGGCCTCGCTTTTAACGTTAAGCCTATAACACCGAATTAAAGGTAAAATATCACTAAGGGTTATTATTCCGATGGACTGCGTAACTCAATGTGTAGGCGTTTATAATGCCTCGTTTATAGAAAGGAGTAAGGTCCTAAGTATATAACGATGTATGTAGGACCGGATTGGACAAGAATAATTGGATTTTTCTGTTATCGCCAATTATTTTCAGTTAACAGTTTTAAGAGTTATAGAGGGTCTTTCTATTACTTAGAGTTCATGACTTAAATGGCAAACAAGTGCTACATCATACTTTTTATATAATAGGGCGCAAACGAGAAGACTGCTCAACTAATACCATCAGATGATCTGAGGTCTGAGTGGTCAGCGCCGCCCATGGACATCGACAACACTAGAGGAGTGACAGTCACGCTAGTCAATTAATTCACTAACCCCCAAGCGAACGCCGACATTCGCGCACCTATGTCTCTTACAGTGTGTCTCTAAATGCCTCGATTGAAAGGTTAAGAAGGAATAAGCGCATTTCTTGCAGATTTGTAGGTCGAACTGATACGGTTCGGAAATACTGCCGGCGAAAGATCATTCCAAAGTTTCGCTGTGCAAGGCAGGAAGTTTTGTGAAAATAGCACAGTTCTTCACTGCCAACTGACTATGTGAACACATAGCGAGGCTACATCTCGACACAGTTGCAAATGGACTCTGCAACTGCGTCGACCGATCAAGACAACAGAGCTTATATGTTTGATACTTGTACTAACCTAACCCCACAGACAATAAAGGACGTTCATTTCAAAAGTTGGACTTAATTGGAAATAATTATAGTTCTCTACATACGTCACGCGTCGCGTCGGCGTTGCTCTTTGCAGTCTGTACTTCTCTAGTCTATCATTGATGCATAGCCAATTAGTAACTAATATCAGAGTCGACTGTCCTCAGGTTCCAACCCCCTTACCGATCTGCCTACACCACCCTCAGGGAGGAAGGGAGGCAGGAACAGGACGAACGACAACATTTTATACTTTGTTTTATACAAATGTATCGAAGCTATTTTAGTAAAAGGAAAAAGCATTTGTAAAAACAATTTTGCATAAACATTAAACATCGGAATTCGTATTGAAAAAAGGTATGAAAGTAGAATTACAAACAAGATTAATTTTGTTTGTTAACTGTTACAAAGTTTGCTTTCGCCTAAATATTTCATGTACCTATAGGCAGATACTTGCTTCAGTTATTTTGTGGGAATTATTGTCTCTCGTTATTATTGTTCAAACAAGTACCTGTTGTATTTTTCTCTTATATTCTGTTCTAATACTTGCTCACTCTACTCAGCTTCAACATAAATCTATTACTCGAATTATACTGTTGGCATTGAAGAGGCAGCATGTCTATCAACACCCTTATCAGGAGTCCATCCAATTGAAAGCGGCCCATCACTCAAATACAAGAAAATAATCAACTATCCAGACATATACCTACACAGAAAATAAGTAAAAAACAACAACATATTATTTCTAGCAATTTTGCGAAATACCTTTTGGCTGACAAACAGGTACTCAACCTATGTACAAGACACGTGTAACCATATATTGTTATGAGGACCGTAGACGTCAAGTGATAGACATAATAACAATTACTTAGAAAACACTCGAAATATTGAAATTTTATTTATTTGATTTTCCAAGACTTCTCTTGGAAAATCAAGTTAAATTGTCGGGAGACAGAATGTCCTGGCGAACCACCCTACCTGGGTGGTGCGCCGTATGCCACGATCGATAACTGCACGCATCAAATAAACAACTACGTATATTACATACATATAAAATTACGTA